CGCCCACCCCAGATTCCGCCCTCACAGGGCCCGGCCTTGCACAGATCCCACGGACTTTACCCCACAAACTCCAGGGAGAAAGTGTATGCAAAATCTGAGCCTAGACGATCTGGGCTGTGGTTTCCAAGGCGCTGTACAGAGACCTAGACAGTCCTATGGTTATAGAAGTTACACGACAGCAGAGTCACTCTTTAAATATATGCCACGAAGTGTTCTTCTTTTTCTTTTTTTTAAAACATATTTTTATTGATTTCAGAGAGGAAGGGAGAGGAGAGAGAGATAGAAACATCAATGATGAAGCATCATTGATTGACTGCCTTCTGCACGCCCCCTACTGGGGATCAAGCCTGCAACCCTGGCATAAAATCGTGACCTCCAGGTTCATAGGTTGACATTCAATCAGTGAGCCACACTGGTCAGGCCCTTGTTCTTTTGTATGCTTACATGGCTGTATCAATGTAGTTTCATTCATAAAGAATTTAAACCTTGTATTGAAGTATATACTGCAAATATGTTACAAATTATAAATGTATAGCTTGGTGAATTTTCACAAAGTGAACATACCACATCCTGAAAATTAAATTGCCAGAACTCTTTTATGCATAGATGCCCCCTCTTGTGTCTCCCTCCAGTAACTACCTCCCCTGCTCCACTCTACTGACATCTAACAGTATATATTATTTTGTCTGTTTTGATTTTTTATAGATGGAATCATACAGTATATGTACATATATTCTTTGAACTTGTTTATTAACATTTTTAAGTCTGTGCTTCAAACTCTGTTTCAGGTCTTGTACAATGGATTCACTGGTAGAAAAATCACATCACAAATTTTCATCGGCCCCACTTATTACCAGCGTTTGAAGCATATGGTGGATGACAAGATTCATTCTCGTGCTAGGGGGCCTATTCAGATCCTTAACAGACAGCCCATGGAGGGTAGATCCCGGTAAGAGAGCTGCATCATTGTCTATTGTCCATAGTTCACGTAGTAAAGGCAAGATAAATGTTTGTTTCTTTCCCTTTATTAACCAGTTAATGAGTTGGTTATCTAGCATCCTTCAAAGTTGACCAGAGATTTGTTTCTCAGTAATAACATTGGAAACTCAACTGATTTCATGTTTTTGTGTATTAAGAGTACTAAGGAAGCCATCACCATCCACCTGTGTGGTGATCTGAACAATGCATTTTATTTCACCCCTATGCTGGGAAAACCTCTCATTCACTCGTTCTTTCCACTCCCTTTGCCAGAAGTCATTTTACCATTTCAGGCTTGATTACCCGGGAGACTCATTCATGGAAAAGCTACTTTATTGAGATCAAATTTTGTTATTCGTTTTTGAGTACAGAGTTGAATTCTAGTAAGTTAAATGATAGCATGATGAGACTTGACTCTGTACTTCATTGTATTTTATGAGAAAAATTATATATATAAAAGGCTAATATGCTAAGTGTCCCTCCCTCTGTCTGACTGGTCACTATGACATGCACTGACTACCAGGGGGCAGATGCTCAATGCAGGAGCTGCCGTGACGTGCACTGGCCATTTACTGGGAAATGGCACCATGGACCTGGCATCCACAAAGCAACACTTGGCTTCCCTGAAGTAGGACACAGGCCCCACCACTACCCTGGAGTGACAGCCCACCAAATCACAGCTGACGCTCCCAAGACCCCATGGCTCAAAATGCAGTCCACGGCCCAATCCAGCCCAGAAATGGTGGCTGTGGGCACCGGGTAATGATGTCATATAGCAGTGCCCAG